GGTGGTGGTAGTGCAGACCTTTAAGCCCAGCACTAGAAACGCAGAGGCAGGCAGATCTCTGAGAGTTCATGGACAGCCTGAGACAAAGAGAAACCCTATCTTAAAAACCTATATATTTATATAAAAAAGAACCCACGCTGGGCATTGGTGGCGAATGCCTTTAATCCCAGCACTCGGGAGACAGAGGCAGGCAGATCTCTGTGAGTTCGAGGCCAGCCTGGTCTCCAGAGTGAGTGCCAGGATAGGCTCCAAAGCTACACAGAGAAACCCTGTCTTGAAAAGCCAAAAAAAAAGAAAGAAAGAAAAAAAGAACCCACTAAATATGGTTTAACCAGAGGACAGTTCCTCTTATTTCTATAACAAAGACAAAACCACACATATTTGGTGGTTTTTTTCTGCTTGAATTTTGCTTCAAAATAATGGGTTTGGCTGGGGTTCAGGACCCGGGCAGGGCTTCTTGTATCTGTAGCCAATAAGAGCAAGGGCTTTTGTTATCTATAAATACATCCTTATGTTCCCTCTCTCCTTCCCTTCCTTCTTTTTTGTAGTCCTTGATGTTAGGACCCAATGCTTTGAACACTAGGCAAGCTTTGTACCACTGAGTTAACAATAATTTTATATTTATTTATTATGACGAGACAGGGTTTCTCTGTGTAACTCTAGCTGTCCTGGAACACTCTGTGTAGACCAGGTTGGCCTCCAACTCACAGAGATCCACCTGCCTCTGCCTCCTGAGTGCTGGGTATTAAAGGTGAGTAACACCTCTACCTGGCATTATTATTTTTCATTTGTGGATGTGTTTGTGCTCTTGAGTGCACAGGTGTATGTGTGTGCATGTTCCATGGCACACGTGGAGATCATGAAGGCCGCTTGCAGAAGTTGGCTCCTTTCTTTCCCCAGGGATGTTCTAGGGATCAAACTCAGGTTAGGTTCCCAGGATTAGTAGCAAGCACCTTTATACACTGAATCATCGCTCCATCCCAGTGCTGGTTAGTTTTTGTCAATTTAACACAAACTAGAGTCACATGGGAAGAGTGACGCTTTCTCAACTGAAGGATTACTTCCATTAGACTGGCCTGTGGGCTTGACTGTAGGGTATTTTCTTGATTAATGATTGATGTGGAAGGACCCAGTTCACTGTGGTCAGTGTCACACCTGGGCAGGTGGTCCTGGCTTGTATAAGAAAGCAAAGTTGGGCCGGGCGGTGGTGGCGCACGTGTTTAATCCCAGCACTCGGGAGGTAGAGACAGGTAGATCTCTCTGAGTTCGAGGCCAGCTTGGTCTCCAGAGCAAGTGCCAGGATAGCCTCCTAAGCCACCGAGAAACCCTGTCTCGAAAAAACAGAAAAGAAAAAAAAAAGATAGAAAGAAAGAAAGCAAAGTTGGGCCTGCAGGAGCAAGCCAGTAAGCGGAGTTTTCCCCACAGCCTCTGATTCAGCTCCTGAGTTTCTTCTACCGCTCCCTGATGATTTATAACCTGTAAGATAGAATTGACCCTTTCTCCCCACAAATTGTGCTTTAATTTAATTCAATTTTATTTTATTTTATTTTGTTTTTCGAGACAGGGTTTCTCGGTGGCTTTGGAGGCTGACCTGGAACTAGCTCTTGTAAACCAGGCTGGTCTCGAACTCACAGAGATCCGCCTGCCTCTGCCTCCCGAGTGCTGGGATTAATCAAGGGCAGATTTTATGGCATATGAATAATATTTTATAAAGCTGTTATTCAAATGTGAATATATGTCTTCAAAGGTGCCATGCTCATGATAAGGAAGGAAAAACTTAGTTCTGCTTTCACAGACCAGGAGGACATGATGCCTGATGTTATGTAGGAGCCTGGAGCTGAAAAAGATGTTAATGGATAGAAACAGTCAAATCTGAGTAAGCTCTGAGAGTTAGTTTACAACAGTCTACTAGTGTTGATCTCTTTTTTCTTCTTTAAGAGATGGTCTTATGTAGTCCAGGCTAGGCACCAACTTGCTATGTAAATGAGGATGGCCTTGAACTCCCCCTAATCCCCCTGCCTCCATCTCTGAAAACTGGAATTATGGAAGTGTACCACCATACCTGGCCCCTAACATATATTTAATGTTCAGATTTCCATTGCATAGGCACAGTGGCTAATGAATTTTATAGATGGGGAAGTGTAGCAAGAGTTGTCTGTCCAGATGTTTGTTGGCCTTGCTGTGCAGCACTGTCTCCTCAAGGGCATGAGGCTGGACTCCTCTGGAATGAAGACGGTCCTATGATCTAGCCACTGGGTGAATTTGAGAATTTCTTTGTGGCTAGCTCCATAACAGAACCATGGGAACTGGGTTGGTATATCATAAAGTAAAAAAGTCTTAAATCAACTAGACATTCATGCCTGTAATTCCAGCACTTGGGAGGCCAACGAGGGCCAAGAGTCCAAGGTTGGGGTAGAGTTGGTGGCACACATTTTTAAGACTTTATTTATTATGTATACAACATTCTGCTTCCATGTACATCTGCACACCAGAAGAGGGCACCAGATCTTATAATGGATGGTTGTGAGCCACCATGTGGTTGCTGGGAATTGAACTCAGGACCTCTGGAAGAGCAGTCAGTGCTCTTAACCGCTGAGCCATCTCTTCAGCCTGGTGGCACACATTTTTAATCCCAGCACTCAGGAGGCAGAGGCAGAGGCAGGTAGATTCTAAGTTTAACACTAGCTTGGTCTACATAGCAAGTTCTGTGCTAGCCAGGACTATACAATGAGGCCTTGTCTCAAAAATAAAAGGGGTGGGGAGCTGGGGGAGATGGCTCAAGAGTTAAGAGCACTGGCTGCTCTGGCTGAGGACCTGGGTTTGGTTACCAGCTCTCACAGCTCATACACAAATGTAACTCTGGTTCCAGGGGATCTGAGGCCCTCTTCTGGCCTCTGTGGGTACTAGCCACACAGGTAGTACATATAGGTGCAGGCAAAACATCTTTGGACATAAAACAATAGTTTTTTTTCCTGTTTTGTTTTGATTTTGTTTTTTCTTTTTGACACAGGTTTTCTCTGTGTCAAAATAGTTCTGGCTGTCCTCCAGCTCACCTTGTAGACCAGACTGGCCTTGAACTCACAGAAATCTGCCTGCCTTTGCCTCCCGAGTGCTGGGATCGACAACAACAGAGATCTGCTTGCCTCTGCCTCCTGGATTCTGGAATAAAAGACATACACCACTATGCTGGGCTTAGACTATATTTAGCTGTTTGCCTATCATGGGGTATTTGGGATGGCTCTGGTCTGTGCTGCTATAAATATTTTTGCAAGATGGCTTGGTGTGGTCTTGGGGATTATTTTGAGCAATCTCATTTGGGGAAGACAGACAAAGGAAGAGTCACTGGAATTTTAACTTCACCTTGGCCGGCTGTGCTTCTTCAGAAAGGTCCCTGGGTGTTTTGTAATGTGAGCTCTGGGTGAATTCTGTCACCCAGCCGTGCCTAGCCGGAAGCACTGTTTGGGAGCCTGTAGGAAAATAGACTTTTAATTCCCTTTGCATTTTAACAACATCCACAATAGGGGTTCCAGGGTACATTAACAGTTGGAGCTGCCTCTGGAGAGTGGGGGCCCACCTTTAATCCTAGCACTCAGGACGAAGAGTCAGGTGGAGCTCTGTGAGTTCCAGGCCAGCCTGGTCTACAGAGTGAGTTCCAGGACAGCCAGGGCTGTTACACAGAGAAACCCTGTCTCAAAAGAAAAAAAGTTGGAGAAGCCATGGATCTGTGGCTCACACAGTCGATCCCAGCATATAGGAGGCTGTAGCTAGGGACTGCCGAAAATTCAAGGTCATTCTGGACTGTATACCCTTCCCCAACACAACAAATTGCCTTTATTTCAGTATGCATCAACATTTCAACATTTAGTGGTCCTGAACAGAGTGGGGACGTGGCAAGAGGCAGGAGGCCAGGCCCAGGGATCTGAAAATACAATGCGGTGACACAGAGCTCCTCTGGGTCCTTGTGTGAGGAGCAGCAACTTTGAAACCTGAATCTGATGGGTCGGGTCCAGCCATCCAGGTCCACATCAGACCAGAGGGGCGATCAGGGTGACATGAGAGCCCTGTCCAAACCTCTTCAGTGTGTAAAAGCACAACTGGGAAAAGGAGCCGACTCAGACCCGAGTGCACTTAGGACTCTCTGCATGGCTTTCCTCTAGGCAACCCCACCAGGGACTCAGCACCAGCAGGTCTCAATCTTTCCCATGACTGTTCTGTTCACTTGGAGAGCTGAGCTCAGCTGATGGTGGCACAGGATGGAGGACAAGGCTCCCCCTTCCTAGGCTGGTGGCAAGTGAACCTTAGCTTAGTGAGGGAAGCTAGGTTCTTCTTACTACATCTGATGGCTTCTGGGCACAGCAAGTGTTGGGTGGTGATGGGTAATGAGAGAGTTGAGGAGGATGGGAAAGGAGTACCCCTTTATAGAGGTGGGGAGAATGCAAGCCTTGCATTTCTCACCCAGGGCCAATTTAAGAGGGAGAGGAAGGTTACAGTCTAAGCTTTGGCAAAGGGTGTGAGTGGAGGAGCTGGGACAATGGCTTGGATGGGACATCACATCCAAGGAAAACAGGGTACAGCCAAGGTACCCCAAGCTCCCCAGTAGTCCTGGGGCTGCCACCTAGAGCCTTCCCATCTAAGGTCCACCATGCAGTTGTGATGGGAGGGCAGGTGGGCAAAGGCAGATCCAGGCCACAAGTCACCAGCAGGTGATTGTGTGTGACCTGTCTGTTCACAGTTGGATTAGCTGTGCTCCCTAAGGAAACTAATTTCAACACCCCTTCTTGATCCCAGAAGTTCAATTAGGCAGCCAGCGGTTTACACAGTACAACCTAGGTATTTAAAAGGACAAGAAATTTGTATCAGAACAGTGCCTCAGGATGAAGTCTGAGCTTCCTCTCCAGTACTCTGAGGTCTACAGGTTGTATCTAGAAAATTCACTACTGTGGAAAAAGAAGACTTAGGTTGGATGGGGGAGGGGAGGCCAGGGCCTTGGTGACTAATTGCTATAACTGTCCCTTTGGCGGCTGTGGCAGCTTCACATTCTCTCTCTCTCTCTCTCTCTCTCTCTCTCTCTCTCTCTCTCTCTCTTTTGGTTTTTCGAGACAGGGTTTCTCTGTGTAGCTTTTGGAGCCTATCCGGGCACTCATTCTGGAGACCAGGCTGGCCTCGAACTCACAGAGATCCCCCTGCCTCCCAAGTGCTGGGATTAAAGGTGTGCACCACCAACGCCCGGCTGCATTCTCTTTTGATGCCATCAAGCACCGAGGCTCCTGAAGGATGACTTTGATGCTGTGGAAATTCTGCCACTTGGCCAGCAGTGCCGTGGCCCTTGGATCCACTACTCTAACTCCATTTGAACTCTCAGTGATCATATTGACTTTTTTTGTTTCTTTGTTTACAAAACATACAGATGGGGGTGCCTCTGGGTATTTTGGCCCACATCATATTTTAAGGCTGTGCATTCAGTTTTTGTAAGTTGCTCTTGGAGGTTCAGTCTTCTCTGTTCATCTTGTGTCATGTTTTTGTCATCCTCTAGACCTCCGCTGACTGTGCTGTCACCTTCTTCTTTCTGGCCATCTTCCAGTTCTTCTAACAGTTGGAAATTTCGAGGAACTTTTACTCCTGAGCCTGTGGTGGCTGCCATCTTGCATCAATGTCTTTTTTTTTTTTTTTTTTTTTTTTCCCAAAAAGGGTTTTTTTTTTTTTTTCTTCCAAGATAGAGTTTACTTGTGTATTCCTGGCTGTCCTGGAACTAATTCTGTAGGCCAGGCTGGCCTCAAACTCAGAGATCTGCCTGCCTTTGCCTCTGGAGTGGTGAGATTAAAGGCATGTGCTACCATAGCCTGGGCTACCTCATAGCTATCTGCCCAGTCTGGGCTATAGTATGAGACCTTGATCCAAGGGGAAAAAAATAACTTGCCAGGGGGTGGTAGTACACACCTTTGATCCTGGCACTCTGGAGGCAGAGGCAGGTGCATCTCTCTGAGTTAGAGGACAGCCTGGTTTACAGAGCTGGTTCCAGGACAGCCAAGGCCACAAAGAGAGTGAAAGACCCTGTCTCAATAAACAAACATCTGTGAGCTCAAGGCCAGCCTGGTCTCCAGAGCGAGTGCCAGGATAGGCTCCAAAGCTACACAGAGAAACACTGTCTCGAAAAACCAAAACCAAACAAACAAACAAGCAAAACAACAACAACAACAGCAACAACCAAAACTTGCCAGGGGGTGGTGGTGCATGCCTTAAAACCCCAGCACTTGGGAGGCAGACAAAGGCAGATCTCTGTGAGTTCAAGACCAGCCTCGTCTACAGCGTGAGTTCCAGGACAGGCTCCAAAGCTACAGAGAAACCCTGTTTTGAAAAACCGAAAAAAAGAAAAAAAAAAAGATTAAAAAAAAAATTAAAAACCTTGAGGAATTTTGCTTTAGAACACAGATGGTCCCTGACTCACTGTGGTTGGATTTAGTTTTTAGTTTTTTGTTTTTTTTCTTTCTCATGAGACTGAGTCTCCCAATGTAGCCCAGGGAGGCTTCAAGTTTCCCGATCTTTCTGCCTCAACCTACAACCTATTAAGTCATCCTCTGCTCCTTAGTGAGTTTGAGGCCAGCCTGGGCTAAATAATACTGTGTTTTAAAGAGAAACATAAAGCCCCACTTCTCATTATGTTAACAATCAAAACTACACATGCCTGAACCAGGCCAGGGGAGCAGTTAGGTAAGACTTCTGACAGCTGATAGGGTTCTGAGGTGGGGCAGCCTGCCTGTGCCATCTCTGGGGACAGCCTGCCTGTGCCATATCTAAGAAAGGCTTGTAGATAATGCTCGTGGAGTCCCAACCCCTCAGAGAGAACAGTCCTGCAGATTTATAAGCTGACCAGCTGGCTATAAGGCAGCACCTGCCCAGATATTCTGGGGACAGGACCAGCCTCTCCTTCTCAGCCTGGGAAGATGTAAGGAGTAGTAAAGGGTCACCTCACAAATCTTCTTCCCAGAGGTGACACTGTCATCCTTCAAGATCATTTACTTCCAGGTTCTGCCTCCCAAGTGATGAGATTAAAGACTCCCACCACCTTGCCTGGCTCCCAAGACCCTTTACCTTTGATTTTGTTTCAGTTAAATCTGTTAAGTAAAACTTTTCCTCTTTTCTTTTTTCTTTTCCTTCCTTTATCTTAAAAAAATCATCCAGGTATAGAGCCACACGCCTTCAATTCCAATACCTAGGAGACTGAGGCAGGCAGAGCTATGTGAGTTTCAGGCCAGCCTAGTCAACATAGTGAATACTAGGACAGCTAGGACTACATAGTGAGAGCCAGTATCATGAAAACATTTTATTATTTTTTAATTAAAAATACATTTTATGTGTATGAGTGTTTTGCTTACATGTACATACCATGTATGTGCCAGAAGAGGGCATTGGGTCCCCTGAAACTGGAGTTAGGGATGATTGTGAACCCATGTGGGTGCTCTGTGAGAGCTGCAAGTGCTCTTAACTGCTGAGCCATTTCTCCAGCCCTTCAAAAAATTATTTTTTCATTAAATAAAGGGTTATTCTTTTTTAGTTATTTGGTCTTTTTTTTTTTGATTTTATGAGACAGGGTTTCTCTGTACTGTTTTGGAGGTTGTCCTGGAACTCTCTCTGTAAACCAGGGTGGCCTAGAACTCACAGAGATCACCTGCCTCTGCCTCCCAAGTGCTGGGATTAAAGGCATGAGCCACCAATGCCCGGCTTAGTTATTTGTTTTTAATCTATTTTGTGGTGTGTGTATGTGTGCTACAACACACATGTAGACTTTGGGGAAACCTGTTCTCTTCCACCTTGTTTTGAAGCAGGGCCTCTCTTTATTCTGCTCCTGTACTGTGAGTGTTCCAGGCTTTCCAGCTTATTCTTTCTCTGTTTCCCATCTCACCACCCCAGGAATGCTGAGATTACAGAGGGATGCTTGCTACTTCATCAGGCTTTTATGTGAGTCTGTGGGTTCTGGGGGGTTAAACTCAGGTTGGAGCCAGTCTCATGATGTACCCAGGTTGGTCTTGAATTTGAGATCACCCCCAGAGTCAACCTCCTTCATGCTAGAATTACAAGTGTTTCCCACCATAACCAGTTCTTTTTCCAATTTTCACTTCCAGCATTAGACTATGGAAAGCATTTAGCTGAAGAAAGAAGCAAAACAAAACAAAACACTTTCACGTCCTTGAGTGCTCTCTCACCCCGGGGAAAGGGGCTAACACTCTCTTGCAATTCGACAAATGGTGTCTGAATTTTCTCACAGCCCACCACTGAGTTTTAGGCACCTCTCACTAATAGCGTACTTGTTTAGAAATCAGGGATCAGAATCTGAATTCAAAGTGGGCCATTAGTTTACATCTCGAATGGAGCATATTCTTCTTTTGGTCTCAAGTAAGAATTGAAATGTTCCTGACAAGGTGGTACCTGACTTTAATCTCAGCACTCAGGATGCAGAGGCAGGTGGATCTCTCTGAGTTCAAGGCCAGCCTGGTCTACAGTGGGAGTTCCAGGACAGCCAGGGCTGCACAGAGAAATCCTGTCTGCAAAAGCCAAAAAGGAAAACAAATAACAACAACAAAACTGAGTTGCAAGTTAGGAGGCAATTGTGGTATCCTGCTGTGTGATTTTTTTTTCCTAAGAGACTTGACTAAACCCTTCTTCATCCTACATAGGGCATCAAGAACAGACAGACTGGGACAGACATACCAAAGAAAGATTCCACATAAGTCTGTCTTGGTAAGTGGTGAATTTATTGAGGCTATTCACAGTATTGGAGAGAGGTTACCTAAGAGCATAGGTTGCAGGGTACTGGAGGCGCATGCCTTTAATCCCAGCACTCAGGAGGCAGAGGCAGGTGGATCTTTGTGAGTTTGAGGCCAGCCTGGTCTACAGAGAGAGAGTTCCAGGACAATCTCCAAAGCAATACAGAGAAACCCTGTCTCGAAAACAAACAAAACAAAACAAACAAACAGAGCATAGGTGACTCAGAGGCAGCTGCATCTCTGAAGGGTCCATCCCTGGAGCACCTGGAGCACCTGGAGCATCTGCATGACTGGCCTCTGGAGGAGGAAAGCTCCTCTTCCTAGCAGTTAAAGCTGTTCTGGAACACTGTGGTGGGGTGGGAAGTCCTCATGAATCTTGTAAGTTTCAGGAGCTTCCTGAGGTCTGTAAATGCATTAGAAGTCTCATACACAAAGACTGGAACATGCTTGTAATCACAGTGTTTGGGAGGCAGAGGCAGGAGGATCAGGAGTTCAATGTCATACAAGTTCGAGGCCAGCCTGGGCTACATGAGCCCCTGTCTCAATCCCCTTTCACTCCCTAAAAATAACTGCGAGTAGGTTCCTATGTGCTAATGTGAGTTTTTCCTGAGTTCTATGAGTGATTGATCTATGAACTCCAAACATTGCAAACCCCCACAGTAGATTACTCTATTATTCATTTCTTCTCGGCTTTCAGCAAATATTTATTGAGAGACAGCTATAAGCTAAGCTCTTGGGATCTAATGACAATGAAGACAGAGACAAATTCTTTGTGGTCTCAAAGAGATTACTCACCCCTGGAGAGAAACATACATTCAACCAGAACAAAACTCTTCAGAAAATGACAACTTGTATGATGGAAACAAAGCCCATGGTAGGTAAGTGATTGAGACAAAGTGCGGCTTTCTGGTTATTTTTATTTATTTACTTTTTTTGTTTGTTTTTTTTTCCAGACAGGGTTTCTCTGTGTAACAAATAGCCTTGGCTGTTCTGGAACTTGCTTTGTAGACTAGGCTGACCTTGAACTCACAGAGATCTACCTGCCTCTATTGAAAATTTATTTTATGTTTATGAATGATTGACTATATGTATGTCTGTGTACCATTTGCATGTCTGGTGCCTGGGGATTCAGAATAGAGGATCCTATCCCAAGGACTGGAGTTAAAGATGGTTATAAACTACCATATGGGTGCTGGGAATTGAACCTGGGTCCCCGGAAGAGCAGCCGGTGCTCTTCACTATTCAGCTATTTTCTCTTCCCCATTTTCTGACTGTTTCTGGAGAGTCATTATAACACAGAGGAAAATGTGTTGATGTGCTAATATTCACTGCCTCACAGTATGACCTTATGTGGAAATTCGGTGTTTGGAGATGTTATTAGTGGAAATGAGGTTACAATAGCAAAAGGTATTGTCTTCATAGCTACACAGCACACACCTCAAAGGGGATAAAAGATATTCTATCCTGGGCTTGAGAGATGGCTCAGCAGTTAAGGGCACTGGCTACTCTTGCAGGGGACCCAAGTTTGGTTCTCAGCACCCACATAGTGGTTCACAATCAGCTCTAGTTCCAGGGGTTCCCTGATTGCCACGCACATACACGGTGCATAGACATACAGGCAAAGTACTTATACACATGGTATAAAAAATATATTTTTAGCCGGGCGTTGGTGGTGCACACCTTTAATCCCAGCATTTGGAGGCAGAGGCAGGCGGATCTCTGTGAGTTCGAGGCCAGCCTGGTCTCCAGATCAAGTGCCAGGATAGGCTCCAAAGCTACACAGAGAAACCCTGTCTCGGAAAAAAAAAAAAAAGAGGTGGACAAGGCATGGCCATTTAGGGGACTAATGATAGCCCTCGATAAACTGTAATTAGGCTCTGGACCTGCACCATTCCAACCTCCCTACAATCACTAAAGTTCTAATCAGTTAACCAGCTTTACAGAAGATTCAGTAGAAGGTGTATTTTCTTTCTAGGAACTTTCATTCATAAGAGAGGGTACACAGAGAGGCCTCGTGACCACAGGTCAGAGTGGAATAATGCAGCTGAAAGCCAAGGAACAGCTAGGATTGACCACCATTGCCGTGAGCTACTAGGCAGCAGGGAAAGACTCTACAAAGGCTCTCAGGAGGTACAAGGTTTTACAGACACTTTGATTTCAGCTCTGTAGCCTCAAGAACTGTGAGAGAAATGCATTCTGTTGTTTAGAATAGAATGAGAATAGAATGAGTCTTACTGTGCAGTCCCAGGTGGTCTGGAGCTCACTATGTAGACCAGGCTGGTCTCAAACTTATAGAGATCTGTTGTGATTTTAAAGGTGTGCACCACCGAAGCCTGACCTGCAAAATACACACACTCTCTCTCTCTCTCTCTCTCTCTCTCTCTCTCTCTCTCTCTGTCTCTCCAGGATTTCTCCATGTAACAGCCCTGGCTGTCCTGGAACTTGATTTGTAGACTAGGCTAATCTAGAACTCCCCTGCTGGGATTAAAGGCGTGTGTGCAGCCATCACAGCTCTGCACTTTTAACCATTGAATCCAGCCCCCAAAGGCATCTCTCCAGTCCCAATATTGTTTTTTGTTTTTTGAGACAAGCTTGCTGTGCTGTCAAGGCTGGTGTGGCGTGCAATCCCAGCTGCAGGATCATTTGAATGAGGCTCCAGGAATTGGCTAGAAGTTACTATAGAAGTTACTACATGAAGATTGAGAGCGAAGAACGCCAAGTCGGGAAGAAAATAATGTCTGGAGAGCTGGAACAGGGGCAGTGAGATAGGAGGTGTGACCGGAAAGCCAAGGCTGGTGCAGATCTTGTAGGACTTTGCAGGGAAAGGGAGGTAACCGCATTCAATAAACTTGGAGGTGGTTGTGTCTTTTGAGTGACAGCAGTAGCTGTCAAGAGTCGCCTAGTGTCACAGAGGACAGGAATCTAGGTTGTATTGGTTGCAATAAATACCAGTGCCAACGTGAGATAACAGAGCCAAGTCTGCATTTTCCCACCCTGCCCTTGACCTTACTTACTACACGGTCACTGTCAGCTCTGGCATTCCAGGGCACTGGCTTTGGCCTCCTAGGTCAGGCAATGCTAAGGGGTGCATGACTTTTCTTTCACCTCCCTCAAAATCTTTTTCCACCCCACTCTTCCCCCAAATATAATCTAAGTAACAAAAGCCATAAATGTAGGTTACAGATAAGCCCTCCACCCACTCGGAGGAGAATCGTACTACGCTGGAGCAGGAGTGATGAGACTGTAAAGTTGAATCGTCCACGCGGCTGGAGCCAGGGAAGCGCGTGCTCACGCGCCGGCCCCACCCTCGAGGGGGGGGGCGGCCGCCGGGGCGGGTCCGTGACGTCAGATGCGCGCGTGGCTCCGGCTCCGGCTCCGCAGGAACAGCTGGTACCTCGGGAGGCGGCGAGTGAGCTGGCGGGCGTGGGGGGGTGGGCG